CCCTCTTACCATAAGCCTATTTTAATCATCCAGGCCATTTTAAAGGCTGGAGAGAAAAACAGAAAATAAAAAAAGGAAACCCCGGGAAGATGATCAGAGAGGATACCTAGAAGCATATATGTTTATAACTAAAAGGGATCTTAGAGATTCATCTAGCGCCTGTCACCCCCACATCCACCCCTTTACAAATAAAAAAACATTTAGGCTAGGAGAGATTGAACCATGATCTTGCCTAGGTCTCAAATTACTGTGACCTGCAAATTTAACTGAATTCACTCTATCAATTTCTTGGTGCTCTAAGAATACAGAGAGGCTTAATCAATATGGAGAATTACTATCAGGTACCACAAATTGTGAGCTCTACTTTTATTTGATGATAGAAATAGCCCCAAACACTGTAGCTTGAGTTTGGTAAACAAACCAGAAAATATAGCTAAGCATCTTTTATACTTGGGATCACACCACAATAGGAGGATGTATGCCAGAGAGCTTCAGGTAAAGGAAGAACCGTGAGGACTGGTTTGCTCGTTATCGGGGTCAGATCTATAGCCCAGTCATCCCTTCTCCAGCGTAAGCCGTGAGCACCCTAGGCTTCTTCCACGTATCTCTTGTTGCTTAAGTGTGTCTCCATTAGGGGTGTATACCCTTTTCGAAGTCTTCTATATTGAAGAAAGGCCAGCAGCACAAAAAGCCCAGCCAACAGCATCAGCACACCTATAACCATCAAGAGGATCGTGGTCCAACCCCAAGTTTCTTTGACTGAAATTAAAGCAGAAGAGAAGGGTCTGCAATCAGGATTTTCATCAGCTGAACGCTCTTAGAAAAGGAAAGAATAAACCAATTTGCCTTTCACGTGCATTTTTGTTGATAAAGCATAACTACTTTTGCTAGAATAAAATTTATCTTCTCCTTCCTCACCAACTATTTATCATATCCATAATTGTTTTCTTGAGGAGGTTGGATCTGGCATTCCATTATTTAAATACAGCTTATTGCATTTAAAATTTTTTTCGGACAACACTGAATGCGGAATAAACCCTCTGAGGAAGTATATAACTACTTTTGTGAGTTAGAAACACATTTGCAAAAGTGCACGCTAAAATGGTATCTGGGGAACTGCAAAATATACAACTTGGAGGTGGAGAACTTCTACTATTGTTTCTACCTGTTTTATAGGGTGATAAACGTGCAAGAGAGATGAGATTGGCTATAATAACAGTAGTAGCCAACATTTGTACACATTTAAGTAGTCATGAATAAAATCTGAATTTTCCATGTGATAAAACCAATCCTCTACTCAAATATAGCTTAGAAGCACTCCTTGACAAAATTAATGGATTTCATTTTTAGTATATTTATGTCTATTTATCATTTCTTTAAAAATTGTCTTTTCTTAAACCAGACATTTTTAAATTCATTTCTTCTGAGCTGGGTACTTGGTCTACATGAGCACTCATCCAAGGGCAAGACCCTCCTTCTAGCCCTTTCCTTCCAGTGCCACTGAAGGCCCTGACCCATCCTGATAGGTGTCCGCCAAC